TGAGAGCACCGAAAGGTGAAACCCTGCCTCCCTCCGAACTTCAACCAACCGTTTCAACCCTTGGCAGGTTCGAGCTGATGTCGGATGATTTCTGGAGCTGCCGGACTGATGGACCCCGGTCCCGCTTGAGGTGGAAGCACCGTAAGTGGCCCGCTTATTGCTGAAGCCCGGAACGCAGGCCTTGCGACTCGGCATTCTCCCACGACTTTGAGGAGACTATCTGGGGCAGAGCCTCGGCTGCAATTGGTTGGTCGTGCAGCACTGAAAAGTGACAGTTGCACTGAAAAGTGACTGGCCGGCTGCTTGCACTGGCTGAGTCTCCAACATGTCATGCCACGAGGGAGTTCATGTTTTGCAGGACCATGTGCATAGTAACCCTAAGAAGTTCAAGGTCAGCTACTTAAGTCTATTACCGCGACCAGAACCACACCCTATTCTCAGAAGTTCAAGGTCAGCTACTTATTAAGTCTATTATCGGGACCAGAACTACACCCTACTCTTAGAAGTTCAATGGTCAGCTACTTAATCTAAGTATTACCGGGACCACAACTACACCCTACTCTCAGAAGTTCAAGGTCAGCTACTTAAGTCTATTACCGGGACCAGAACTACACCCTACTCTTAGAAGTTCAAGGTCAGCTACTTAATCTAAGTATTACCGGGACCACAACTACACCCTACTCTCAGAAGTTCAGGGTCAGCTACTTAATTTACCGCTACCCTAAACCCTAAACCCCTAAACCCTAAACCCTAAACCCTAAACCCGGACACTTATCGCCATGCCAGCTTTTGCGAGTGTGTGAGTCGAAACCCTAAACCCTTCATCATGGCCTCCGGGAGCGGCCAGCCGCCGCAGGGTTGGGGCGAATGGAGCTCTGGCAAGTGCGGCTGACGCGCTTGACAGTACGTTACAACTCACTAGTCGAAATTTATTCATGAAACCTTCTCCATGCCAGGCATTGCCTGAGCGGCGCTAAGAGAGCGGCTCGGCGGAGCGCCGACCGCGACGAAGAGGCAGGGGTGCCTTTGACGCATCCGAACCCGTATCAAGTTCAGAGTCGTTACCTGGCCACAGGTTGCCAAAATGGCGAGGCTGGAAGTGCTGAACCAGGTGTTGGAGGAGCACCGAAAGGTGGCACATGGCATTGTGGTAGGACAGTGCAGTACTTCCCAACCCCCGAAGAATCCGAGCACCGCCAGGTGACAGTAGGGCACAGTGAAGTGAAGTGGACAGCCTTGCCCTTATGACAGGAGCGCGTGGAGAACCTCAACAAGGAGAAGGCGACGGCCGATTCCATGGTCGCGCAGGTCAATGGCCCAGATCGAACGTAGTAAGAGCAGCAAGCTTGAACGGGTTTCTTTAATTAAGCCTTGCAGTCATGAGGCGGTCAACCTCACCTTCCTCCAGCAGGGCTGGCTGGACAACCTCCGAGGCCGGTACATGACCATGTCTACTGAGTCGAGCTCAGTGCGGAAAATACAAATGCACCGTCCGCAGGGCACTACGGCGCTCTGTTCCACGCGTTCAGCACATCCATGGAGCGCTTCGTCCCGTTCTCGCCGTCACAATTGTGGACGGACGGAGGACCGGTTGCTGCTTGCTGTTAGTGGTTGAGCCTTGATATCTGTCTTCCGAACAGGCGTTGGCATCCTGGTTCCAGTTCCGGTGCTTCCCGGACTACCTGCAGGTGGTTGGGAACAAGTGCTGATAGCCATTACTTTTTATTTCTGCGTTCCGGACAGTCCCAGTGGCGCGTGCTGGCTCTGCAGCTGGAGGTGTGGCTGTGAAAAAATATTGACAGCTGATTGCCAGTACTTTTCATTTTTGTTTTCCGAACAGGCACAATGCCGGGTCCAGCAGCTCATGGCCCAGGCGGGGCTTGGAGTTGGCAGCGACGATCTTGTTTCAGATCCAATGATCCGAACAGGACAGCCCATGCCGCGACCTGGAGGTGTGGCCGGGACTAATACTTGTTTGGTCTTTTTTTAGTTCTTCCGAACAGGCCCGATGCCGATGCCGTTTCCAGCAGGCAGGGGCTTGGAATTGGCAGCAACGGTCTGATTTCAGATCCAACCGAGCCGAACAGGAGTGCCCACGATGATGCCACCTGGAGGTGTGGCCGGGACTAATTAGTGTTTGTTTTTTGTTGCTTGTTCCGAACAGGCACGATGCCGGGTGCAGCAGCTGCAGGCCAAGGTGGGGCTTGGAACCGGCAGTAGCTGCTGTTCTCATTGGTTTCATTTGCTACGATGCGATGGCTGCTGTTCTGTTTTCTTGCTAATGCTGCGATTAGGCGCCAGGGTGGCTCCGCAAGGTTCGGGTTCCCGGTTTTGGCTGCGGCTGTTACTGCCGTCATGTAATTGGACTCCAGGTCACATCATGGGCTGTCCTGTTTGGATCATTGGATCTAAAATCTAAAACAAGATCGTCGCTGCCAATTCCAAGCCCCGCCTGGGCCGGGAGCTGCTGGAACCGGACCCGGCATCGGGCCTGTTCGGAAGAACAGGAAAAGGGACCAAAGACTAATTAGTCCCGGCCACGCCTCCAGGCGGCATCATGCACTGTCCTGTTCGGCTCGGATGGATCTGAAATATAAGACCATCGCTGCCAAGTCCAAGCCCCACCTTGGCCTGCAGCTGCTGCACCCGGCATCGTGCCTGTTCGGAAGAAGAAAAAAATAAGGACCAAACACTGACTAGTCCCGGCCACACCTCCAGGTGGC